ACCCATGCATCAATATGTTGTTTTACAAAAAAAGACATATATTAGTGAATTACATAAATTTAAAAAAAAATTAATCAAACTGAAATATAAGAAGAAATATAAGACTTACCCCCCATCGAAATAGCCGTTGTCTTCAACCCCTAATAATACACCCCACCAAGACCGTTCAATCAACAAATGCATATCATCGTTGAATTTGTATATGTCAGCGTAACACCCTTGGCTCCGCTCATTTAGATAAAAATCAACTGCGGTCTTAGCCCAAAGGGTATTATCCAGAATTGTTTCTGGTAGTTGTTTCCTCTCCACTTCATCTGCCGGAATGGTACTGGCCAGTAACTTATACGAAAGCCAACAATCATCCATCATGTCCGGCACGTGAGGGGGCTTCTCAATAATTCGATATATTACGCCGTGTGAATCAGGCTCTAGAATGTTGGGAGGGACCTCTTCAACGATGACAGTGCCTCTTGAACGGTGGGAGGGGACTCTTGAGGGATGATAGGGGCCTCTTGAACGATAGGAGAGGCCTCTTGAACGATGACAGGTGAGTCGGGCTTTTTCTTACGGATTCTTTACACTATTGGGGTGAACGGAGACGTAATGGCACGTGCACGCCGTCTGATGCGTGAACTCCATCTTGCAAGAAAAACCCGACGTAGAGCATCCACCTTAGCGGGCCGCTAAAAATAAATTAATACATAAATAAATAAATAAACAAACTGATATTAAACAGTGAAAACAAAGACAAATATATTTCAAACTTGCACGGTATTCACCCAAGTCATTATTATATCATTGTTCACAAAATGCATCAGATAACATTCCAGAAGTAAGCACTTATATAAACATTTAAAAGGACAACATATAGGTTTAGTGTATGTTCAATGACAACATAAAGAGTAGTAGTTTATTCTTGAAACTTAAATTTTCAACACTGTGAAGTTAGTATTTGGCTTTTGGTTGAAGTAATGCAATTCATTCAAGTTTCAATTTGCAGAAGAAGAATAGAATCTGAAACTTAAAATCGCAACGCGAAAATGACTATCGCAACGCGAAAATGACTTTCACAACGCGAAAATGACTATCGCAATGCGAAAATGACTATCGCAATGCGAATTTGACTATCGCAATACGAATTTGACTATCGCAATGAGAGAATCGCAATGTGATTTTCATTTCTCATTGCAATTCTTTCGTTGCGATAGTTATTTTCGCATTGCGATAGTCATTTTTGCATTGCGATAGTCATTTTCGCGTTGCGATTTTGTTGTTGCGATTTTCATTTCGCATTGCGATAGTCATTTTGCGTTGCGATAGTCATTTTCGCATTGCGATAGTAAACTATTCTTCTTCTGCAAATTGAAACTTGAATGGATTGCATTACTTCAACCAAAAGACAACAAAAAACTACTAACTTCACAGGGTTAAAGAATAAACAGTTAAACAGTATTAGCAGCAACCGAATGAATTTACTAAGCAATCTAAGTGAAATTACGAGTAAATTTATCATCAAGTTAAATATGAAAAATATTAAACTTACCTCGTTGCGTAGAGTATGAACCTCGTTCTGCAACGATGCTACAATCTCACGTAGAGCTGCTACCTCACCACGTAAAGTAGACACCTCAACACGCCATGTACCATTGTCATCGCGTAAAGTACTGACTTCCTCACGCAAGGCATTGACCTCATTACGTAACTCCCCTAACTCATCCCGTGGAGGTAGAGGTGGAGAACAAGGAGATAAACGTCGTGGCATCTTTGCCGGTCGCCTATCATGAGGTGATGGTGGAGAAGAGGCTCGATGATGTGACAGAATAGGTGATGACTCTCGTTAAGGAGGTGTATATTCGGGTCAATCAGGTGATGGCTCTGGGTGAGGTGATGGCTCTCGAAGTGGTGGCTGCTCATCATCCGTGCCATAAAAAAAAGCTTACTAGCTTGCCACCAATCAGTGGCAAGCTCAGCTTCCGTGGGTGTCAGCCTCTGTAATAGAGTGTTGGCCTCCTAACAATATAAAAGCTCAAACAAAGTTAAACGTGTACTAGTAATAACTTGTTTATAAACATATGGTAGTATTTGTGTTAACTTACATTATTTATTGTAGTATACGGTAGTAAATCTTCCCATTGCAGCAAGGACCGTTTCCTCTTCCAGGAAATAGCCCTAGGAATATCATTAGAAGTTTTTAATGCATATGTCTGCATGGCGGGAAAGGCCTCAAATATCCAAATCTACAAACAATATAATAACAAACATTAGTAATTGTTAAAGAATTAATTATAATTTTGGAAACATTATATAAAAATCATTACCTTAAAGGCCCCAATAAAGCCTGACAAAGTGTATTTGGAACCATCGCCACGCAAACTTTTCCGATCATCAAAGGCAGACGACAACTTATTCCATATAGCTCTCCATAGATACGAACCCCACAGAAACAGGTTCCATGCATTTAGGTCCTCTACCAATTTAATTAGATCATTAGGAATAGGTTGTCAGGCCTCTCTGCCTAAAAAGCCGACTTGCAAAAGTATTAGAAGGCATACTCGGACAATATCGACGTCATCCATCCGAGTAAAACCATCTTTCTTATTCAATAATCTCGTCAAGTCTTCCACGTGTAAATTTGACTTCTCCGTTGATAGCTCAGGAAAAACCCGAGAAAACCATGATAGGCGGGTAATATGTCTAGTGTACCGATCTACATCATCGTGTCCGAAGCGTAGACCGGTGATTAAGCAAAACTCCTCCCACCCAAAACACGTATACGCCGGTGGAAAATCAAACCATATCTCTTCATCATGACGTTGTATAGTCTCTGGTAGATCGCTAGTCATGGTTTGAAGAAACAATGGGTCAACATAGCATCTCCACCCGGATGTTGTACTTTCAGCCATGGCCCGAAGCAAGTATCCTCAACTATTTTTCTTTGTGCATGTGAAAGCTTCGACGCAATTGTTTTGGCCAGGCTTACCTTATTTCTTAAGGTCAATTGAGCCGAATAAAAGTTCTGCAAAAAAATAAACATACCAATTTAGATATACCAAAAACTACATTGTGAAGATATAACAAGAACAATAAACATGAAGAGTAGTAGTTTATTCTTCAAACTTAAATTTGCAACACTGTGAATTTAGTATTTGTTTTTGTTTTTTGGTTGAAGTAATGCAATTCATTCAAGTTTCAATTTGTATAAGAAGAATAGTTTCTGAAACTTTAAATCGCAACACGAAAATGAAAATCGCAACACGAAAATGACTATCGCAACGCGAATTTGACTATCGCAACGCGAAATGAAAATTGCAACGACAGAATCGCATTGCGATAGTCATTCTCGGTTTCAAATACTAAAATTGAAAGAATCTTGAATGGATTGCATTACTTCAACCAAAAGACAAAATAAAGACAAATACTAACTTCACAGGGTTAAAGACTAAACAGTTTAGCAGTATTGGCAGTAATCGAATGAATATAATAAGCAATCTAAGTGAAATGATTAATCTATTATTGAAAACACCAGTAAACTTATCATCAATTTCAATATGAAAAACCTAATAATAATACAAAAATTTCAAAATAAAAATAATTAAAAAAACTAACCCTCGGTGGTTGATTTGGTTGATTTTCCATTTCTGACCGTGAATGATTTCTCCGGAGATGGAGACTGATATCGTCGGAGATGGGAACTGATTTCGTCAGAGATGGGGATGGATGTCGCCTTAGAGAGTGAGAGATGGAGATGAGACTGAGTTGTGATTTAGGGTTTTAGGTTATGAGTTGCGATTACGAGATATACCGTGGACGGTTCAGTGTTCTGATATATTAAATATTCATGTTTGGAATTTGAAAAAAAATACGCGTTGGATATGAATGGCGCTATGTAAATCGCATTGCGATAGTCAGATTCGCGTTGCGATTTACGTATTCGCATTGCGATTTACGTATTCACATTGCGATTTTCGTATTCGCATTGCGATTTACGTAATCGCATTGCGATTTTGCGATTTTCCAAATTCGCGTTGCGATTTACGTATTCGCATTGCGAATTAAGAAAATCGCAACGCGAATTTGGAAAATCGCAATGCGATAGTCAGAATCGCGTTGCGAATCTGGAAACTGATTTGCGATACCGGAGATCGCGTTGCGAATTATCGATCGCATTGCGATTTAGTTGGTCATTTTGGCAAATCCAAAAAAAGTTGGTTAAAATCGTATATTATAAGGCATTTTTTGTCACTGAGGTTATTTTCTCTATATATAATCTAGGGTTCGCTTTTCACAAATCTAATATTTCCTCCATTTTATCTACTCCTAATTCCTTTTTTTCTTTTTAATTTGTTCGCGCTGTGATTTCGGCAATAATTAGGTCAGCATTTTAAAATTTATTCTCATTTGGGTTAGAACAGAAATGTTTTCATTTGTTGCATAGCCATTTTTTGGTTAGCAGCTGGTCTGTTGTTTGTATTGCTCCTGGAAATTAAAAAATTTCACATTAAACTGAAAAAATGTTTTTTTTTTTAATTTTGAAAAATGTTATATTCATCTTGCTTTTCCCTGAATTCGACAGCATAAATCCTTTTGTATTGTGTGCTTTGTCTTTGCTATGTTTGTGTGAAGATGACGTTATGATTATGTTAATTTTATGCATTGAGTTCACATTAATTTTAGGTGTAACTGATTCCAAGTTCCATCTTTTGTATTATATAATCTGCTTTAGATGGCAGTAGGCTTATTGTTGGTTCCCCAAATTTTGACAATCGAACTTAGACTTAGGCACTCGACCTTGTATCTTAGGAAGTAGCATGAAGAATCTAGGATGGCGAGAACTACCTTCCTTTATATAGTCAAAACCTTGTCCTGGGTAGTCTCCAGATGTATTTTACTTTGGTCATTTTCTTTTTCAAAAGAAGATATGCTAGATACAAGTTTTGGGGTTAAACTAGTTTCTGATTTTTTTTGGGTTGTATCGATTTTTAAGTAGTAAGAAGATATCTATGGACCCTTGGGAGCTTAGGTACTACGAGGACGATGACACTCCAACAATGAAAACAATCAAGAGTGCAACTACCGGTTTTGCAGCTGGAACTGTATGGGGAACTGTGGTTGCTACATGGTACGATGTGCCTCGTGTTGAGAGAAGTGTTGCCCTACCAGGGCTTGTAAGGACACTGAAGATGATGGGGAATTATGGAATGACATTTGCTGCAATTGGCGGAGTATATATTGGTGTTGAGCAGCTGTTGCAGAATTATAGGATGAAAAGAGACTTCGACAATGGTGCTGTTGGTGGTTTTGTGGCTGGGGCTTCTATTCTCGGTTTCAAAGGTAGATATTTATTTATGCAGCTAGAATATTTAGTGCACCTTAAAACCTGCTATCCGATTTTATTAATCTTTAGAGAAACCATTTATGAAAGTTGACAGAGCGTGGATATTTGTTATGAAATATTAATGTTTACAAAAACTTCTTGAGTTACTCAAAAGACCTCTTTTTGGGCTAGTAAAGAAAATTATATCCTGTATATATAGATCATATTGATTTTTGTGTTTGTGTAATATGGATGTTGGGTTTCTTAGAAAGCTTTACCTCTTCAAAATTGAAGCTTGTGATGATACATAGAATTTCTATCACCATCCAAATGATGGTGCTAAAGTTGTTCTCATATTTTACATTGCCACTTTGATTATTTTTTGGTCTCATTGGTTTTTCTTGAACATGTTCACTTAGCTGTTATATATAAAATGCTAGGAGAACTGTGACATGTAAATATAAAAAATCTAAACTCCTGATTTTTCCTATATTTTCCTTTTAGTTTAAGGTTTTGAACTTTCATCTTTATGAAATTCATGAAGCATGCATTATTTTAGTTGCATGTTTGTTTGGGAGACTATAATGATTCGACCAAGAAGTGATTAATACGTGATAAAAATCCTTGATGGACCTTGTAGAGGAAGTGGAGTGCCAGATTTCTCAACTTTGTGGTAAAATGGTCGTGTAAAAGCATTATTTTGGACAGTGGGGGTTTTCCATCGTTGGTTTTAGTTATAGTTTGAAGGAGAATGAAGGGGAATATGGTTGTGTTATTATGTTATCAAATGTCAACATTGTTTCTCGATACACGTTAAACTTGGTCAGTTCTGTTGTCTTACTAGGTAATGTTCAATAAATGTACTGAGGTGTTGTCCACTTCGCAGGCAGGAGCATCTCAACAGCTATTTCCGCTGGCGCTGCTCTGGCTGCTACCTCTGCCGTGATTGATGTTGGAGGTCAGACAACAAGAATAAACACAGGTAAATAGTATACCCTTACACCTGTCGTAACCGTCTTTCGGGTGGACTCAGAATTGGACTTCGACTTAAATAAAATATGCAAGAGTTGCCACCGATCATTTATATATTTTTTTTCCAAACATAATTAGGTTGATCGGACACCTCAATTGACCATCATATCTGATCTGCGTTTTACCAAAAATACGTCAGGTTCGGGATTCGGTTACAGTCAATGAAGAATTAACACCCTTGTACTGACCTTTTGGTACTAATTTAATTTCTCAGTTGTCTTAATTGTGAAAATTAAAAGTTAAATCTGAATTTAAAAATTTGATTCGAACTACTTACCTTTGATCGATTAGAATTATCCCTAAAAAAATTAAATTGTGAAATAAAATGTATAAATAATTCACAAAATTAGAAAGGTCAAAAAAGTTTTTTTAAAAAGTTTTTTAAAAAAATTAAAAAATGGACTAAATTAGAAAATTAAAAAATTAAAGTTGAGGGACCAAATTAATACTAAAGATATGCTTTTTCGACGAGCTCCTTCAACTTTCAGTGGCCGCTTCTTTTTCGATCCAAGATCGGGGCTTCTTTTATTTGTGTTTTTCGATATTTTTTTGTGTGGTTTGTGCAATATTTTGCTTGGTTTTGTTTGGCGTTTTGGTGCTTGGTTGTCTTTCTTTGTTTGATCGTTGTATGCTTCGTTTTTTCCATTCGTTTTTGCTTGCGTTGTGCTCGATGGTTATTTTGTTGTTTTGTTGTGCATGTACTGTGGTTTATCGATGGCTTTTTATAGCCTCTGGAAATCGGTTACAACCCTAATTTTGTCATGATTTGGGTGAGGCTGACTCTCCAGCGTTGTATTTGTGGTTGTTTGTGGGTTGACCAAAAATCTCGGGATGGTGCAGTCTCGGGTTCTTCGTCCGGACATCTCGGTCGATTTCTCTTGTGGCTGGCGGCACTGCTTGCTTGGTGTTGAAAATCCTAATGGACTTATGGGTTGGGTCAGGCCTACATGCTCCTCAAATGAGTTTTCCTTTGTTGGACCATGACCCTTAGATTGGAACTGAAAAATAAGAAAAATAAATAAATGAATAAAATAAAATAAAATAAGAATAAAATAAAATAAAATGGAATATAAAATTCTAATAATAATAATAATATTTATATATTTTGAAAAATATGTTTAAAAAAATATTTTTAAAAAACTATATTATATATACATTTTCAAAATTATTTTAAAAATTATTATTATATTTTTCAAAAACGTGTTTTCAAAATTATATTATTTGTTTTCCAAAATCGATTTTTAAAAACTATATATTATATACGTTTTCAAAAATATGTTTTCAAAACTATATATTATTATATGTTTTAAAAACCGTTTTCTAAAAATTATATATTATATGTTTTTCAAAAATATTTTCAAAACTATACTATATTATTATATATACTAAATAAGCCTCGTACGAAAATGGGTGATTACAGCTGCCACTCTTTACCTATTATCGAGCAACGAAAATAAGGGAAAGACACCAATTTTCATTCGGTGCATATGGGCTTGGAAACAAGCATGCTCCTGTGAGAGTTGTTGACTTCTGAGTTCGAAATCCAACTTAATTTTGTCGTTGAATCTTTATCAACAATCCTCCGCCGTGGAGTTGAGATTCGAAAAAAAAGAAGGCTCCTTGTTGCTTAGCCGTACTGTAGATAAAGTTGAGTCAATCTTGAGATGTCTTTGAACATGATATCCTTCATTTTGAAGTTGAAATCGTAGTTCAAAATTTGAATCGAAAGGTGGTTTCTTGTTGCCAAATCGTAGTCAACCTTGGTCTTCTTCTCGACTTAAAGACTTTGGTTTGAAAATTCGACAGAAAAGTAGTTACTTGCTGCTACTAAGCGGTTGATATGCCTTCGAGCTGAATGAAATCTATCTCGAAAGTTTTCGTTGATAGATAACTCTTCTCGCCTTGATCTATTTTGTAAACTAGACTAGAAGATAGCTCTCTGTTGCTAAATCGCAGCCAACCTAGGTATTCTTCTTGACTTAAAAGACCTAGGTATAAAATTCAACCTGTAAGTAGTTCTTTGTTGCTACCATGCGGTTGATATGCCATCGAGCTGAATTGAATCGAACTCGAAAGTTTTCGTCGACAGATAACTCTTTTTGCCTTGAGCTATGCTGTAAAAGGTTCCTCTAAATGAAGGATGACTCCCCTTCGCGGGTCTAAGCCAGTAATAATTCTTTAGATGACTCCTCTTCACAGGAAAGTCAGGTGAGGCGACTCCCCTTCACGGTTTACGTCGATCTTGTTTCTTTGGACGACTCCATTTCACGGGAAAGCCAAGTGGTCCATTCTGTAGGTGATTCCCCTTCCGGGTCTGAACCAGGTGAGAAGATCTTTGGATAGCTCCCCTTCGTAGAAAGCCATGTGAGATGCTCTTTGAGTGACTTCCCTTTGCGAGAAAGTCAAGTGAGGTAGCCTGTCACCCGGATATCCATCATGGAGTTTAAATCTAGCTTGAAAACTTTAATTAGCCATTCATCGTTGAATTAAGCTGAATATGTTTTGAATTGGCTCTCGAACCTGATTTAAAGTTGATTCTAAGATTTGTTGACCTTTCTATAGGTCAAGTTGGTTAAGGTGTAGCTCCTCGCTACTGAGTTAAGCAACCACCACCGATTTTTTTAAGGCGGTTTTGAATCGAGTATCCTTCGTCGTGAGATTGAAACTTGATTCTAAAGCTGCAAAAATTATGTATGCGAAAAATGATAAATGTGATGCTCTTAAGTATGTCTAAGATGTATGCATAATGAATTAGTTCTTATTTTATTTGTCGGACAGAATCTCATTCTTTGTCTGTTGGTTTTATTCTTGGAATCGATCATACCCCGACACTGGCGGCTTCATGGAAAATATCTGACATTTGCTCATTTGTTAGCTTAATCCAGTGATCTTACACTCTTGACTGTATGGATCAATTTTAATCCAGAGATTCTTAAGCATTCTTTTAGCCTTTGTTTACTCGAGAGAGTAAGAGTATTTTGCATTGATGATCAAATATTGGAGCTGATTTAATCATGATTGTAGTTGACACATCATATTCAGTGAAAGGCTTTCTTACGTGGCTTGGAAGCTCAAATGGAAACCTCTACAGCCAAGGCTACCTTTTCCAATGTCCATGAAATTATTTTGATTGCCATGGAAAAAGACTGACAAACAAGAAGGGATGCTTCCTTGAAATTATATAAAGAACCCCCAGTGCTTCTTGCAGAGTGCTTTGGCAACAAATCTTGTCTTAAACGTCGTTGAGTTATAAGTGTCTTGTTTTCTTTCTTTCACGTTCATTTGGGTTATCATTATCATCAGGGTTTGCATTCCTTTTGTTTTTCTTTGGTAAGACATCCTCAAATACAACAGTAAACTCATGCTTCAGGAGAGACCTGATAGTGAATGAATTTATCTTCATCATGGGCTAAACTCTTTCTGGCGAACTCATTGCTGTAGGTCACTTTGTACCTTACTAGACGACCATCTTCATAGTGAAGAAAAACATTGTGCTGGATAAAGCAACCATCTGTATTATTTATACTTACTTTGAAATGATTGGTTAGAATGGTTATTTTTGTTCCTTCGATCTAGTATCACGTCTGGCCATGGCTTGTAACAATACCTTTCACAACGTCAAGCCCTGTTTTGGTAGGAACCACGTCAAGAGGCACGGGTGGTAGAAAGAGAAGAGATTGGAAATCTAGAGATGCCCACATTGTCTCAGTCCTTCAATTGATTTTTCGAGAAACTATGTATTGTATGAGATACATCTCTATTTTTAAAAGGTTTGGTATAAAAATAATGTCTGAGCAATTGAAGCAAAGTATCAATTCACCAAATATAAAATAAATGAATCACACAAGTTATTTGTCAAAGGTTATAGCCATTTGACAAGTATCAAGATCCATGCGATTTGGTTTTGAATTTCATGATTTTCAAACAGGATGTAAACAAAATAGTGCAACTGATGCATTTCATTGTAAGGCCGTTTAGAGAGCATTTCTATTTCAGTTCTCAGGAATCTTCCATTTGTTCAAGTTACGTATATTTCTTAAGCAGGGATAGCGTTGAAATTTCGATCTAAAAACAAAACCCTTGAGTGTTTTTGTATAGTCAATTATAACAGATGTTTCCCGACTCCCTTAGTCCATATTTCATCGAAGTTTAATTTCAAATACACGTTTATTTTAGGCCTTATTGCCTTTCTTTAAATTATACTTTATTAAACTTGAGGACCTCGCTTTAAATTTTGCTGGGAGATTCATCTCGACACGTAGATACTAGTGTCATGATCTGAATGTACTCGTATTCATAAAGTTAGGAAACTTAACATTACCCATTACTTTAGTGGAATACCCTAAGTTAAAGGATTCAAGTGTCAAAAAGTCTTCGACTTGACAAACCCAAACGAAACTCACTTCATAAAGCTCGAACATTACCATCATAGCTGCTTCAGACATTACATCTGAAGATTAACAACCTACTACTTTCAGCGGAGTGCCCCCAGTATTGTTAAAATTATCGTTCATTAATATCACATTAATTCTTCGATTTTGAGATTTCCTAAGTTTGTCAGGAAGAATCTGTTATAGTCTGAGTGTTAGTGAAAATCAAAAAATTTCGTCTTTAGAGCTCAATTTCTAAGCAACTGATCTAAGCCAAATTCGTCTATTTCATCATTCCATTTGTGAAAATTATGTATCGTCAGGGAACGTCCTTATGCAAACTAATTGGTCTTGCAATGTCATGCATCAGAGATGCCCCATCTTGTCTACTTCCATACTTGTACGAGTGAGATATCATTTTCTTTTTCGAGTAAAAGACATGGACCTTGTTTTTTTAAATGAATTTGATTTCGGCATATGTCAAAAGGCTATAACCTCATTTCCCAAAATGTGCATTTCATTATACTTGATATTCACTGAATTTCAAACAATTCAAATAAATGTAAAAAAATATTTTAAAATAGTTAA